ACGTACAAGTCCTGGCTTTTCTTTGAAAATCCCACACAGATCTTCAGCTAACCAGTGTAATTGGTCACTCCTGCAGTATTAAATCAAACCTATGTTTTTTCTTCCTTATTACACTGTAGTCCTTTACTTATTAATGTGTCTTTTGTATTTATGTATGTATGTATTTTCCTCCAAGATTTCAAGGACCAGTTACTCCAAACATGAGATCAGCCTGCCTCTTCTCCCCTCTGTTTAATCTACTTGTTTATTCATTTCCCATGATTTTGATCATCTTCACTGTAGATAGCAATGGCACCTTGCCTTTAATTTTGACTTTTAATTGTGAAACAACCCTTTTTTTGTTCTTAGCTCATAATAGGAGACATACACAGTTAATTTTCAGTTAAACTCCAGTGTATTTTTTATACTTCTTAAATTTGAATGCAGACATTTGGGATTGTCACTTTTTTGGTCTGCCTTAACACCTTTAATATATTAAGAAGCATCTCTGTCTTCTAACATGGTGTTTCCTCAGGTCTGCATTTGCCACCTAATTCTGGGTGATGATGTTAAATGCTGTCAAGTTTATTTTTTATTCATAGTGCTCTCATGTGACAGAGTATAGAACTGCCTCACAAGGTTTCCTACACTGTAATCTATGGAAGCTGATCATCAGCTCTTTCTCCCATAAAGCCTTTGGGTGGGTTAATTCAGATACCCCACTGAGACTCTTCTGAGCTTTAGATATGTGTGATCAAATTCTTCAGTACATCACCACCACTAGTCACCCAGATCCCTCCAACTCGGCATTGCCTCGTAACATCTGTCATCTTTCTCCAAAACTTGCTTTTCTCAAGTCTTGCATGGAAGCCTCCATCCACACATTCATTCAAAGTCTAGGTTCCTCAAATCCTGCCCAGTAAATCCTTTAAATCTGTTCCTCATCACCAGCACTTCTGTTAATTTCAGTCTCATCCCTGTCCCCAGTTCTTGGGATATGGGCCTAACTGCTCCCTAGTATTTTCCACTCCTTGCCAGAAGGATCTTTCAAAAACAGACGCAGGGTCATCCCTGCTAAAAATTCCTCAGTAGTATCCCCCTCACTTAACGTTATAAATCCAGGTTATATCTCATGCCAAGTGAGGTTTCTAAAGTCCACAGACCCACCTGTTCAGCCACATAAACCTTACCCCTCAACCCATTTTGCTGCTTCACCCTGTCAAGCCTTTTTAAAAGCTGCTGTTCCCTTGACAATGCCCTTTGTGATACTGTCATTGAAACAGTCTTTCCTTCCTTAGAGACCCAATTCAGCCATGCACTGTGACTCCCACTCAGATTCACACACCAACTTTATCAGTTCCACCTTTATGTACTACACATTAGTACACATACCTTCTCCAGCAATTGAAGTTTGTTTCTATTAGGCTGTGTCCTGCTGAAAAGAACAGGACTATGTTTTATTTCTCTATATATCCTTGGCACATTATGCAGATGTTCAATATATGTGTGAATGAACTTTTAAAAATTTGTAACTCTAAAATTGTCAGTGATCTTGCACTTTGTACATTCCATAAAATGAAAAATTGCTTTGAATGTCCTTTCAACCTAGATAAATCATCATATATTTCAACGGTATACACATAATGCCAACTTCTCTAATAAATTAGTTCTGCTAGCATGTATACCAAGGGCTTCTGCCCAGACTTGTTTTTAATTAAATATAACTTATAAAAATGGTATGTGGTCACTGCAAAAAATAAAATCAGAAAATATTGATAAGCAGAAAAAAAAAAAAAAAATCCATTTACGTGGCCTGTAGGTCAACATGTGACACTGTGGGAGTATTGTATCAGGGCAATCTAAGTCTCCCCCTCCCCCCTTGTTCTCCCACTCTATCCAGGATCTCCTAAGTAGATCCCCCTCCTGAGTGGTTGACAGTGGTAGCCGGGCACCATCTAGTTTTTATGGTCTCATAGTCCTATAAGCTAAGGATCGCATGTTGTACCAGTTACTTGGACTAAATGTTTCCATGAATCTTTGGTTTTCTTCATTCTTCTTTGCTCTGGACAAGGAGAGAGACCCATCATTGCATCTAGATGGCTGCTTGTAAGCTTTTAAGATCCCAAAGTAGGAGATGAAACATTGTTTTTGTGTAGTATATTATGCCAGTTGAGCTTGATGTGGCCAAGAAGTGACTACAACTTTGTCCCTTGTCAGCTCTACTATACACCTGGGAATTCTTACAGAACAGTAAAATTTTAAGTTTTCTTGATCCATAAAAGTTGAATTTATTAAACAGAAATATAGCCTGATGTGTCATTGTAATATTTATAAATGGAAAGAATTTGTGTAATATTTTGAGCAATCCCCAAACATAAGTATCTACATGTATAGATTAAATGAATTAGGCAACACATATTTTACAAAAATACTGTGCTTTATGAGACTTAAGTGAGAAATGTTAATGTGTATATACCATCAAATGCATGTTATCAAGAACTTAAGAGAGATGTTCCTAGAAACGGGTTTATATTTCAGAGACAAAAAATCATTGCCCAGTTATTCCCTTTACAAAGCAGAGTGGCCTTGTGTCCTTTGGCCATTGTCAGATTGATGGTGGGCAGAGCAGGGCAAGGCCGTTTCAGTCACTCTGGTTTAGGTGAGGAAGCCAGTCATGGGGAAATCAGGAGTAGAACTTTTTATCCTCAGTTTCTCTAGTGTTAGAAATTTGTCATTTGGCCCCTTGAATCTGTAGATGAGTACTTAAATATGCCTCACTGACTTCCACAGCAGTGTTGATCAATTAAGTCCTTGAAAACAAACCTTTTCTGGTTAAGTTGGATGAAAAGTAAAGTTGCATTTTTTAAGTGGTTCTATATAATGGTACCTCTATTACAAGAGATGTACCTGGCCTTGAACATTTTATTTTGTTTTGAGTTGAAGTCCCCGATGTTGAAACTATTTAAAAAGTGAGGACATGTTTGGGATGCTTTAGTTAGTCCAGTGTACATTATAATACTCAGTAAATGTTCACTAAATGATAATGAAGAGTCTTTGAGTCTGCCACTGGATTTCATTTTTATCTGTGAGATGGTATAGGTGGTGATTCTGTGTATGTTCACTGTCTGGGATTTTCCTAACAAGAGGCTGAAGGTATAATCTTCGCCTCATTTATGCATTTCACAATTTCTGGTTTTTTGTTGTATTTAGCCATTCTCAGCTTCAGACCTGACATGGAAACTCAATGTATTTACATTTTTTCCAGCTATCAAAATCGTTGACTTTAAACTGTGGTGGGTATTGGGAGTTAATAAGGTCTTAATTATCAGAAGTGAAAAATACAGCATTTGTTTTTGCTAATGTTAAACTTTTAGTGTTAGTCATCACCTGTATATTAGATACATGTACAATAATAATTTGAGCACTTAACTGTGTGTCAGGGACAGCACTCACTCTTAGATATTTTATCTCAAATTTCAGCAAGAGACAGATTTCCTCATTTCATAAGCCAGAACACTGAGGCACATGTCCAAGGTTACTCCCTAAGTAAAATTGTATTTTACCAAACGTAAATCTCTAAGCATTTAAAGGGTATTTTGTTTAATACCAAAGCTGGTGAGTTTTGTGCGTTAAAAGGGTTTTGAGCTGGTACATTTTCAGGTATAATCTATTTAATGTTTTAAGTTGGACGGAATAGTATTGGGCCACATGTTTGAGTAGCAAAAATGTAGTAGTGCTTGTTTATCATTATTATTATAGAAAATGTAGACACATATAAACTGGAAACATAAAATAACTTGATGTTGTAGGTAAAAGATTTAAGAAGTACTTAATATTAAAGCATTGGGCTTGCTCGCTTGTTTTCTCTCAGTGTCACAAAACCATTGCCAACTGATTAGTCACAACCCATATTTTGCCACTCCATCCTTCAGTATATAGGTAAACACCATGTTCTGCAGTATCTGGAACATTTTCCATTATCAAAATAACAGTTTTTAGTCATAGTATTTGCCTTGTGATATTTATATTTGCAAAATACAAAGGTAGAGATCTCATTCTGTAAACTCAAGTGGTGAGCCAAAACAGAAATCTTTATTCTTTTCCGTATCATTATAAATGATGAGTTTTTGAACTTATATAACTCTTACAGTAAACTGTGATTAAACCATCTTGAAAAGGGAAAATAAAGCCTGTGAGTCGTTACTTTCAGCAGCACTAGCTTTGTCAGTCTTGCCACCTATGGAAATGTGTTGAAGGTGAATGGCTGAGCAGCATTATGCAGCAGTCATTTTGGCTTAGCAAATTACACGTTATGTCCTGCTTTGAAAAAGTAACTGTGAAAATAAACTTTACATTTGTGTATGGATCTTTATTTTGTAAACATTTGTGTTTAAGTGATGCTTTGCTATGAGTCGGGTCCAACTTGACTGCACGTAACAACAACAGACAACAACTGCATAGTAAATGTAACACGGAATCAAAAAGACTTCCGTCTTTATATACTCTTTTGGACTGGATTTTCTGGGTCAGTGACCTCATTTTTTCCCCTAGTATTAAGTCAAATGAAGATATAGAATACAAGTGCAAAATATTTAAGAGTGCATATGAAAATACCCTTCAAGCAGCTTGGATAGTTAATTGATACTGAATTCAGTCCTTTTTCCCATTAAGACTTAAGCACATTGTATTTCTCAAATGTTTTAAATATTTTGAGTGGTGAATAACTAATAATGAGGTCTATAGAAGTAGATTTTGACATATTCTCTGCAAAGACTGGTATTATGTAATTAACTTTTCCAGCTTATTTTGACCTGTACCTATATTAGATACTAAAAGTAAGTCTTTAAACTAGCCCAGAATTATTACTGGTGCCCCCTCCTCCACTGAGTTTATGAAAGGTAGCAATTTGAAGTTGGAAGTTACTGTATTGCTTTTCATTTTGCTTTAAGTTTCACAAGAAATAGTTGACACAGATTGTCATATTTTGTGTTACTTACATTTTAATTGTTATTGCTTTTTAGGCACTCAAGGAGTTGCACCTGGTCCTGTGATTGGGCTCCAAGCACCGTCTACTGGTCTTCTTGGTGCCCGACCTGGTCTGATCCCACTCCAGCGCCCTCCAGGAATGCCTCCACCTCATCTACAGCGATTTCCTTTGATGCCACCCCGTCCTATGCCACCACATATGATGCATAGAGGGCCACCACCAGGACCAGGGGGCTTTGGAATGCCTCCACCTCACGGAATGAAAGGTCCCTTTCCACCTCATGGCCCCTTTGTTAGGCCTGGGGGAATGCCAGGGCTTGGGGGCCCAGGGCCAGGCCCAGGGGGCCCTGAAGACAGAGATGGAAGGCAGCAACAGCCACAGCAGCAGCAGCCACCGCCACAACCACCACAGCCGCAGCAGCCACCACCATCACAACAGCCACCACCAACACAGCAGCAACCACAGCCGTTTAGAAATGATAATAGGCAGCAGTTCAATTCAGGTAGAGACCAAGAAAGGTTTGGAAGAAGATCTTTTGCAAATAGGGTGGAAAATGATCGGGAACGGTATGGGAACCGTAATGATGATAGAGAGAATAGTAATCGTGAAAGGAGAGAGTGGGGAAGGAGGAGCCCTGACCGGGACAGGCACAGAGACTTGGAAGAGAGAAATAGACGATCTAGTGGGCATCGAGACAGAGAGAGAGATTCTAGAGATAGAGAGTCTCGTAGAGAGAAAGAAGAAAACCGAGGAAAGGAAAAGCCTGAGGTGACAGACAGAGCAGGTGGTAACAAAACCATTGAACCTCCCGTTAGCCAAGTGGGAAATGTAGACACCATTTCAGAACTTGATAAGAGGGAGTCTGAGGCCGCAGTTGTAAAACCTGAAGAGTCACCTGCTGAGGCTACCTCATCCGTTGAACCTGAAAAGGATTCTGGCTCAGCAGCAGAGGCCCCTCGTTAGAGACTGGAATTTGTCAAAATGTGACAGTGACATTTCCTGGAGTGTAGAGCGTGAGGTGTACAGATGCTGTATTATATTTGCTCCTGCTATATCACAGCCCTGCAGTAGTTGGTGGGGAGTTGTAAGCAATTTGATTGCTTCCCTTCTATTTAAAAATAGCCACAAAATAACAAAAAATACTGAAAATATGAATAAAATATTACCCTTTTTGCTGTAACTTTTTTAAAGTTTTGACTTTAAAAAGTTTACAAACCGTAATTAGAAGTGCTATTTTTTTTTTTTTTTTAATTTAAGACAAGGTAATGGTGAAAGCTCCTCAAAACAATAGGGATGTTTTTAATAAACTCTATTTTCGTAACAAACTTTAATGTGTGCTATTCTTCCTACACTGCATTAAAGTGGAAAAGGATTGTTCAACATCAGAATTTGAGCTGTTAATACTGATATTGAAGTCTAAATTAGACAAATGGAAATAGACATGTTTATGTAGTTACTCTCAAACACTTTCACTTGTAATGCTTTTGATTTTAGCATTTCAGTCATATGATAAAAGTAATTTTAATGTTAATTGAAAAGCTCATTGTTAGTATTTTGTCATTCAGTCGAGGTGGGGTCTTTTCACCTCTTTGGGTTTGTGGTAAATGTTGCCCTAATTTGTAAAAAGAATTTTTTGCTGGGGGAGAAGTTGGATCCCAACGTTACACATTGTACTATAAATTGCCTGGATATTTAGAAGATTGGGTGGCAGGTTTTTTGTTTTACCATCAAATTTTTTAAAAAATCAAGGTTAACATTTGCAACCTAAAACACTTTTCATCTTATATGCTTAAGGATTTAACTGCAACCTACTGTTTCTTATAAGCCTTGCCTGTTACCTTTACCTTTTAAATTTCCCTGCTGGGCAGAGGTAGACTGAACTTTTTGCCAGTTAAAATACTCTTGCTTTAAGTTGTTAACTAGGGAAGATAATTGTAGGTTATCCATGATTACAGGAAGACATCCAAAGCCTTTATCGTATACAGAAAAGCAGATACATATAACTGCTTATCCAGTGCCAAGGAAAATTCAAGTATTTGTGGCCTTTTTAAAGTTTTTTTTTTTGTAAGTAACATTTTAAACTGTCCTCAATTCAGTATGCTGGCCGGTTAATTTTTCCTTTGCCTTCATCCCCAGGTAAAACTGCTTTATTACTTGGACTTTTAAATAGTTCTCTGCAGCAAGATCTTTTGACAGACTGTACCTGAAGCAGTGTTCCAGTATTTCCTTCCATTATTAGAGAAAAAAAATCCCTTATCTGTAAACTTAAATGATAAAATTTGTCCTTGCTTTCTATCTTGGCCAAGATTAAAAGTCATAACCTGAAACTGCCTCTGGAACACACATCTGATTGAAGGCCCAGATTGCAAGGACTTTATTTCCTGTTGAAAGTATTGTTACTTTACCATGACAATTACAACCCTGAAAATAAGGCCTTAAATGGTCACAGGTGAGTCCTTATAGTTGTGTCTTACCTCACATAGGTAACAAATTGTGCAATAGTGGAAGCTGTTAAATACTGTTTCAGTTAAATTCTTTACCTAAATTAGTCATGTACCACTTTTACATTGTTCTTTATTACCAACTAAAAATTTTGAAAAGACACCATGTGTTTATGTTAAGAAACAAGATTGTAGCTTATTTCTGGCTTCTAACAAAAATAACACTCAGCAATTTACTGAAAAGCTATAAGCAGACAGGTCCAGTTATATTAGCATTTCATATAGCAGCAATCTTCCACAGGTACACACTCCACCGAGAAAAAACTGCACACACTAACTGGGTATAAATCTTTAAAGTGGCCAGCACCTACAAACATTTCTTTGGTTCCATGTTACAGTGTGTATCGTACAGTTCATCAAAAGGCTAATGTGAAAGACACTTCCAACAGCTACACTCATTATATACTAAAAGCTCATAGATCTACAAAAGTGGAATGCATGCTATTTTGGCAGGTAGGTAAGTGAGTCTTCTCTATCAAGGCTCTAACTTGCCTCTGAGAATTTCAGGAGTTACTAAGAGGCTTCTCTTTAAACTACAGCTAGTCTACTTTTAAAAATAAACAGGTACCTTAATCAAAATGCTAAATACAGTTAAGTGGGAAACCACCTTAATTTTCCTGAAACTGACAAAGGAAAACCTATTTGTCTAAGATCAAATTGGACAGGCTCAGTCTTAGCTAAAAGACCAACTGTTCTTCTGTACATATTGACGGTCTTATTTAACACTTTCAAAAGTAAGCTCTATGAAATAGTTAATACCTGTTACCATGTAACTCAATTTGTTCCATTCAAGATCTAAATGAGTATAGGAGCTAATTTACAATTTCAATTTGGATTCTTTAATAGGCTCAAAATACAGTGCCATATGGGGTAGTTATTTATTATTCACAGACTTGAGAACTAAAGAAATTCAGACAGCTATGTTTAATACCTGTGCATGATACAGAATCTCTGAAACAGATATTTTAATTGAACAGTTTTATATAACTATACAAATCTTTCAAGTCATAAATCATTTCTCATTACAGGTACTTAAAAGCAATTAAAAACAAAATCACACAAGTAAACTTTTTAAGAGTATAGTGTTTAATGTTTGTCAGGTTAAATTTCTACAGAGCAGATGAGTTATTAGGATTCAGACCATGTCTTAAGGAATGTTTACTGGGCGATCCCAATGACACCACAAGCCAAACGACTTCCAGCATTTCCCGTTTTTGTGCTTTCTTCATTTCCACCTCGGCCCAAGTCATCCTCTTTTTCATGGATCTTTAAAAAAAAAATCAAGAACATGTAACTCTGGGCTATAAAATTAGCATTTCTTCTCAAGAACACCCAAAAGAACTTTAAGAACCGCTCAATATTACTTTATTTACAAAAACAACATGCTAAACTAATCCAATTAGTAAGGAAATACACTAACATTTAATCTAGTAATAAAAAGAAACTACTTAAAGCTTTTCTACATGGTACAAATCTATTCTAAGAGTCATAAATTACCTTTAATTTGAATACTAGGTAAATGTTGCTATGTCTAAAATACTAAAAACCCAAATAATTATGTTATAGGCCACTACGTGCTGGTCATAATCCTTTTTAGTAACCTCAATTACAACAGTCATTCTTTTACAGTATAAACTGCTTTGGGGAGACAAAAAAAGTAAAAGTGATTAAACAAAACCATCAAAAGCTCTTGCCTAATAGAACTAAAGGCCTATAATTAAGAGGTAAAACTAAAAATACCTTTAACTATTTAAAGAACAATTTTAAATTTTGTTCATCCAACATTTGTAAACAGGAGTTTTCTGCTTCACAACTATGGCTGAAGAAAATTCAAAAGGTAAAAAGGGTCAACTGAAAGTGAATACTGAGTGTTAACTGACCTCAGGGGAAGCAAAAGAACAGATGCCACTGGTGGTTTTGCATAAACCAGAGGCAGCTCCCAAGGGTAAAGTGGGGCAACATCTCCCCACTTTAAACAAATGATAACCTAGATTTGAATGAATATTAATGTTGAGGTCCATCCCATGTTTTTGGCAAGGGAAACCTAGTTGTGGCAAGAAAATCTGGCAGTTTTAAAACTACTTTCTCCAATTCAGATATAATATGATCAAATATAACTTGATTTATTACTGCATCTTAGCAAAACTGAGTAAATTGATCCATTTCACTGTAATCACCCAATTAACTGTTTTGTTCCAAATCTGAACTAAAAGGGCAATTTATGTGGATCCTTAGAAACCAGGATTAATAATCACAAAATTATAAAAAATACATGCCTGTATGTTAGAAGAAATTTTAGGCATATCCTTATCATATGAACACTTACCACCATTGTGCGGCCAATGATGGAATTGTTTCCTACAAGCGTGATCAAAGAATCTTCAGTAGACACATGGGCCACACCATCACTGCCAGCAGTCACATTGCCTAGGTCTCCAACATGCCTTGTAATGACAAAGCATCAGACAGATTAAGGCTGATTTCCATTTAACTTATCATCAGGACAGTTCACGACTAAATTAAAAATTGATGGAGTTAGACAGCTAAGAGTGGGCTAAGAGGTTTAAAATCCTTGTATTATCAAAAAAGACCCACCTTTCTGGATTGATAGTTTTTGGAAACATACAAATTTAAAAACAAGTACCTTTTAGACACATAGCTCTTCAAGAAATGCCTCAGCTCTACAAAGTAATGCTCTGAGAAGTCATGGGGGGAAGGGAGTAGGCACATCTCTAATATTACAAGTAAAGTACCAAAGGGTAAGCTTCAGTTAATCACTCAGCTATGGCTGTTATTATTATAGCTAGGAAAGCTACCCCCAGGCCTCTGGTATAAGTTAATCCTTGTCCTTAAAGTCTTCCTGAAAGGTCTCAGAAAGGATACAAAAAAATGGAGCCTCAACTAGTTTTCAATATCAAATTTTACACACAGAATCTTCTCATGTTTCACAGTGATGGTTTATTTCCCTAATGTTTGATAGTACTGTTCGTAACATTTCCTGTATTGGTTCCCTTTGGCACTTGTATTAGTTCTGTATTCAATAAATGCTATAAAACCGAATTGTTTTAAGTGTTCCCATTTGTCAACTCCTTAGCCTAGTGAGTAAGCCATTCCAGCACTTGAGGAACAAGAGGCTGTGTGGAGGGCAATAAATTCAAGAGCAAAGGTGGAGGCAAACACTCAATTAGGATACAATTGGGAAGTAGTACATCCATACTAACCCCAAAAGATCATTATTTTAGTTAAGTCAAGAATCTTTTCACTCACCTCTCTTCATCCTTTGGCCCACCATGTTTTTTGGATAGAGGATTAAAGTGAGGACCAGCACTAGTACAGCCTATTCACATACAAAAAAAAAAAAAGGAGGGAGACCTCACTTATTAATCAGAATTCCAAAATTCTGAGAAACTAAAAAACTGATCATTGCCAAAGCCTCAAATGGAAAAAATACTACCTGTATCGTGATAACTTCTAGCAACAACTTAGTATAACTAAATACAGTGGGCAGAGCCTAGAGACAGGTTCTAACTTCTATATGACACTGGTAAAGCATCTCTTACAATTAATATGGAATATGAATGGGCCACTTTTTTTTTGGTTTTTGGTTTTTTTCACTGTATAATATAGAGGCCAGACTTGATCTTTAATGGTTCTTCTACTGTTAAAATCCCATAATGATGCAGTCTTAGTGGTTTAAGTTTATAAGAAGGTAGCATACCTCAACTACAGTGTATATATGTGTGTTTGTGTGTGTGTATATATATTCCCATCGACATACTGCCTTTATGTGGTATATGCAGAAGCTAATACAGAAACTTAAGTCCAAGAGCCAAGGCCAGCCTGGCACAACTCCGGGGGCAGCACTCAGACTATGCTTTATAAATGGCACTCCTGTGTACCAGGATGCCATTCACACAGAATACAACTGCCAACATTCCAGGGGTTCTTTTATGACATGGCTTTCTTCAGCAGCTGATGGAAAATTTTCCATTATTTACACCTTCCTACCCAGCCTTGGTAGCATAGTGGCTAAGACACTTGCCTGCTAACCAGAAGGCTGGCGGTTCAAACCCACCAGCCACTCCTCGGAAGGAAGGTTGGGCAACTCCGTAGTGATACTGCCTCGGAAACCCAAGGAGGGGTCGCTATGAGTTGGGGCCAACTCAACGGCCTACAACACCACCACCACCCAGCCTTACACAGGGAGAGAGACAGGCAGGTACAGGAAATAGTAGAGTAAACAGTTACAAAGCAATCAGCCTCTAAAGCCAGAGACAGAAAAACCAAGAAGCAACTGGGATAATTTTAGTAATTACTGAAACAAATCAAATCTAGTCACTAAATCACTTTCTGGAACAACAGGAAGGTCTAACAAGATGAATCAAGTTATCAAAACATCTATAAGCACTAAATTCAGATTACTCAAACATAGCAAATATTCACTAAATCCACTTTAATCCATGAACTTTTGTTAACTTGTTTCAATCCCCAAACTGAGAAAATGAAACCCATTCCAAAGCACCAATAATTTTCCATTTTCAGTTTGTATCTTACTTTTACCACAAAAGACGCTGGGGAACATAGCGTGGAGTTATTCTTAAAGAGTAACAGAAATAAATGCAGACTTTGTGGTTTAAACATACACCCTCAGCCCCCAGAGGAGCCCTGGTGGCACAGTGGTTAAGTGCTTGGCTGCCAAGTGAAAGGACAGTAATTCAAACCCATCAGCCACTCTTCAGGAGAGATGTAGCAGTCTGTTTCTGTAAGATTACAGCCTTAGAACCCTCTGGGGCAGTTCAACCCTGTCCTACAGGGTGCTACAAGTCAGAATTGATGGCACACAACACCTCAGACCCCAGCTCACATACACATGGCATCACCGCAGGTTTATGAAGTAGCTTAGTTTTCTAAGTATGGATTACACCTCAGCATACAGAAAACGAAAATCCTCACAACTCGACCAATAAGCAGCATCACAATAAACGGACAAAAGCCTGAAGCTGTCAGAGATTTCATATTACCTGGTTCCATAATCAACACCAATGGAAGCAGCAGTCAAGACATTAGATGACGTGTTATTGCACTGGGCAAATCTGCTGCAAAAGACCTCTTTCAAGTGCTGACGAACAAAGATGTCTCTTTGAAGGTGAAAGTATGCCTAACCCAAGCCATGGTGTTTTCAATTGCCTCATATACAGGTGAGAGGTGGACAAAGAGTAAGGACGACCAAAGAAGAGTTGATGCTTTTGAGTTGCGGCACTGGTGAAGAATACTGAATGCACCACGGACTGCCAAAAGAACAAACAAATCTGTCCTGGAAGATGTGCAGCCAGAATGCTCCTTGGAAGCGAGAATGGCCAGACTCTGTCTGACCTAGTTTGGTCATGTTGTCAAAAGGGACCATTCTCTGGAGAAGGATATCTTGCTTGGTAAAGAAGAGGGTCAACGGAAAAGAGGAAAGCCCTCAACAAGATGGACTGACAGAGAGGCTGCAACAATGGGCTCAGGTATAGCAAGGATTGTGAGGCTGGCACAGGACCGGGCAGTGTTTCATTCTGTTGTACCTGGAGTCATAATGAGTTGGAGCCGACTTGACAGCAACTAACAACAGTTTTCTAAAAACCACCTGAGACTCTTAAGACAATCAAGCCAAAATCATGATAGTAAGAAAGCCATCAACTCCTTCTCTGCCCCGTCCACATTCAAACATCAAACAATGGTTGATGTTAGTAGTCATTTTAACTTGACTGTTTTGTTCTAAATGTTGAGGATTTTAAAGTTTAGAGGTTCCCGTTTATCTTACTAGGTTAAGCTACTATGGGTCAGCAGACCAGCACAACACCCACCTTGTGTATTATCTCCAAACTGGTGGACATGGAATCCATGGAGGCCTTCCGTCAATCCTGTAATACTTCCTGATACTTTGACTGGTCCATTTCCCTTTATTCAAAGAAGAGTTAAGTTTGAGAAAGCTAGAGCTTCGAAATAAAGAAAACATTTGGTTCATCTCTATCATGCACAAAACAGTGAAAAAAGCACGGGCTTGAGAGTCAACCCGTGTCCAAATCACAGGCGCAGCACCTTTCACCAGGGAACTTCCAGCAAGCCACATGCCTGCTCTCAGCGTCGGTGTCTCTATCAAAATGGAGGGGATAGTCTCATTCTAACAATGGCTAGGCATTAACTGAATAAAATATCATATAAAAAGCACCTAGCACAGTGAGCTCTATTGATATACTTTATAGGGTCTGACTCTCTTACAATGAATACGTAATATTTATGTCTATTTTGTAAAGGAGCTCTGGTGGCATAGTGCCTAAGGCATATGACTACTAACTAGAAGACTGGCAGTTCAAACCCACCAGCCACTCCTCAGAAGGAAGGTTGGGCAATCTACTTCCTTAGTGATGGGTTGCTATGAGCGGGATCTGACTCATGGCAGTGAGTTTGGTTTATTTTGTAAACACTTCTGAATAGGTTATGTTTACACATGGCGAGTGTATGTGTCAATATAAAACTTTTTAACCCAAATTTCAGCACATCACACTTATAAGCAAGTAGTTCAAAATTTCATAGGCCAAAAGAAATACTTTATAGCCAACTTATTAGATGAATATACATGGAGAGCTGTCATCCTTAACTAACCAAATCCATTGCCGTTGAGTTGATTCCAACTCATAGTGAACATACAGGACAGAGCAGAACTGCCTGTAGGATTTCCAAGACGGTTCAAACCCACTCCTCGGAAGGAAGACTGGGCAATCTACTTCCATAACGATACTGCTTTGTAAGCATACTGCCACATCTTTCTCCCGTGGAGCAGCTGGTGGGTTTCAACCACTGACCAAGCTCTTAACCACTGTGCCACCAGGACTTCTGCACAAGCTGCCCAGGAAGTGGGAAACCTACAGGGGCCTTGGTGATGTATAGATCGACAACCTGCTTTCTATGTGTTAAGCCCCAAGTCATCTCTCCATGTTGTTGTTGTTATGTGCCGTTGAGTCCATGGCAGCCCCTCCTTGGGTTTCTGAGGCAGTATCACTACAGAAGTAGATTGCCCCATCTTCCTTCCGAGAAGTGGCTGGTGGGTTTGAACCACCAGCCTTCTGGTTAAGCAGTCAAGTGCCTTAGGCACTATGTTACCAGAGGCTTCTGATTCTCTAGTATCAGTGACACATGTGAGGAGGGAAGGGATGTCTGACAAAACAGCAAAATTTAGGCAATACTAAAAAAACTTTTCCAGAAAATTTCAGGACCACTTGAATATAAATTCTCCCTCACACCAATTAAGATTCGGTACACTACTGCTCCTGTCCCATTTCTGTTAACCACTTTAAAGATTAAATCTCACTCAGATATTAAAAATTCCCTGATGTAAGACAAGTACAACGTAACTTTCTGCCAGTTGATTATCTCACTATAGTTCAGGGACAGTCTTATCACAACTTACTAGCACAGTATGTTTTGCAATATTATTGATAATGGATATTCCTGTATACTTTATTTTCCATGATTTATTCAGAAGTTATGTTTGACCATCTCAGCAATCCGCCTATTGGTAGAGAAATTCCAGTCACTTTACAGAGAATTTGGTTAAAGGAACGTTCCAAAATCGGTTACTGACAACCCAATGTAATGGAAACACTCCAGGCCTAATTTCCAAGTCCCAAGCCCTACCCACTAACCTCTACCCAGGGTGTTTCTCTACCCTCGGTGAACATTACAATCAACTTGTTATCTTTTTGAAAATAGCAGTCAGGCTGATGTAACTGGTCTGCGATTGGTCCTGCTATCTATTTTTTTAAACTCCTAGGTGTGTCTACTGTGCATCCAAGGTGAAGATCACTGCTCTAGAAATACCTCAACAGATGTACCAGGTACATCTCTGGTTTGGGGAGCTCCGGAGGAGGAAATGAACTTTGTCCAAGGTCACAATCTTTGCATTCGCGACCTGATTTGTACTAGCGCAGGCAGAGGTCTGAAAACTTTTCCGTAAAGGGCCACAGCCAGTCTCTGTCGCAAATTATTTTCTACAACCTTTTAAAAATATAAAAACATTCTGAACTCGAGAGCTGTACAAAAACTGGCTACAGGATGGCTTACGTCCACTGGCCGCAATTTGCAGACCCCTGACCTAGAGAGATGAAGTCGCAAAGGCAGTCTCAAAGGGATCGCGAATGCGACAGTACTAGGCCGCCTAGCGGGCCACGACCACCGCCCCGAGAAACTCAAAGAATTCGTGCGATCCATCAGACCAAGAAAATGACCACGTAAATAAGTCCCCATCCCAGTTTGCAGATCCCAAAGCAGCAGCTTAGGCCCGTAAGCAGGCTCCCGCGCCCGCTTCTTTCCAGAGTTCCCGCCCAACGCCCACGCCCACGCCCAGCGGCCTGGACCCGCCCGGTGACTCAGCACTTGTCCCCAGCGCGCACGGCCTCCGGGCAGAGGTACCACAGGAGCCCGCGCGGGCGCAGGCGGCGGGGGCGTGGCGAGAGCAACTCGCACTGGCCCCGGCCCGCTCCGGGACGCAGGTGCGCGGGCCGAACGGCACGGCCTGGCCGCGGGCCTCCGCACCAGCCCTTGCCTGCTGCTCGAAGTGGATGGTGCCCTGTACTTGGCCGTCGCCCTTCAGCACGCACACAGCCCTCGTCGCCATGACTCGCAGGACGCTCTCCGGTCGGAGATCTGAGGGCTCAAGCACACTGTAAGGAAGACGTAGGCGAAAGACACAGCAAGAGACGCCAGCGCAAACCGATGCTCCTGCGCCGCAAAGACTTTATAGGTTGGACGCGAAGCCCCACCCATTCTGGCCCAGAACCAATCACTGCGCGCGCACGGCTCGCCCCCTACAGGGGCGTCTGCACGCAAGTGGCTGGACTGACCGGGGGAGGGGCCGAGCGTCTGCGTGAGGAACCTTGGTCTGGGCTCCGTAGCTACCTCCGCCCTACAGCAGTAAAGCGTTTAGAAACCCGAAAATGTGGAAAAAAACAGCATTTTCTTCTAAAAGGGGTAATTGTGGGTAGCAGGACGTGATATTGGGAAAATGAGGTATATAAGATATGCCTTGAAGATCTTAAATCACTTTGTTTAGAAAAATAACTGATTTTGGTCATCACATTGTCTCATTTGTTACTTAGAAATCCGGGCGCCTCAAGCTGCCTGCGTTTTGTCGTTTGTTTGTTTGTTTATCTATTTATATATCTATCCATCTATTTATTTAATGGTGTGTAAAATCTGTACATCTCAATCCCTGACCTCTTTTTTTCCTTCCCTGTAGTTTTCTTGTTGGGTGCGGGGGGGATCAATTCTGACTCTTAACGAGGCCGTAGGACCGGTGGAATTGCCACATAGCGTTTCCAAGGCTGTAATTTTTACAGAAGCAAACTGCCACATCTTTTTCCAACTGAGTGGCTTTGAACTGTTGACCTTTTGGTTAGCAGCCCTGCACTGTAACCACTGTGCAACCAGGACTGTTGTTAGCACATGGATTTATTTATTTGCTAAGACAGAATTCTGTGCTTTTTAAAATATTTTCCTGTTTGTCAAGGCTGCAACCTCAAGGATACCAAAATGGCAACTGATTAATTTCTACATACCTCTCATTTGTGGCTGGCTTCACTGCTACAACACTTAGAGAATGGTAGAAGGATTAAATACTGTGATATCTCCAACCTTTGAGTTAGCAACAGAGCCAGGGACTCCTTTTGTTAGGTGACTACTTTGATAAACCATGGGAAACCAAACCAAAACCAAACTCGATGCTGTGGAGTCAGATGCAGATCATAGAGAACGCCTCCTTGGGTTTCAGAGGTTGTATCACTATGGAAATAGATTGCCCAATCTTCCCAGGAGTGGCTGGTGGATTTGAACTGCCAGCCTTCTGATTAGCAGTCAAATGCCTTAGATATCTGTGGCGGTTAAGTTTGAGTGTCAACTTGGCTGGGCCTGGTTGAGTGTCTGGGCAGCTGGATGTAACATTCCCCATGATGAGACTGGTAATCAACTCCATGGTAGAATCTACTGTGAGCAGCTGAGTAGCTGCCTTAGGGATGTGGTCTGTTTCTTGTGTATAAGAAACAGCTTTGGTAATGGTCTCTGGCCTATAGCACACTTGAACCCTGCATGTAGCCGTGTTGTTTAGCAGCGTGCATGCTCTGCCAACCTTGGGACTTTCAATGGACTTGAATCAATGGCCTGCCATGTGGTTTGGTAACATCTGGACTGTGCCATTTTATTTGTCAACCTTGGGCTTGTTAGCAACCAGTAGTTGCCTGAGTGAAGAGATGCCTCTAGCTTCAGTGGGCCAGGAGCAATTGGCAGAGCTGAAGCTGAAGATCGAGGGGCTTTCACACATCTCCTAGAGCCTGGCACTTTGAACTTGGACTTCTTACCTCCGAAACTGTAAGATAATAAACTCCTCTTTGTTCAGGCCGTCCTATTTGTGGTATATTCCTGTCAGAGCAGCACTAGGTAATTGAAACAGCACTACACCACCAGAGCACCCTAAACCATGAGAAAGGAGTACCAAAAAAAACCAAACTCACTCCTATGGAGTGGATTCCAACTCAGCGAACCCCATTGGGTTTCCTAGGCGGTAAATCTTGGTGGAAGTAGATTGCCCCATCTTCTTTCCACAGAGTGGATGGTGGGTTTTAACAGCCAACTTTCTAGAAAAGGGTTGTTATTTTTGTAAGGTAGAGTCATCTCAGATTCATAGTGTACAGCGGAATGAAACACTGCCTTGTTCTGTGCCAGTTCCATGATCCTTGCTATACCTGATCCCATCGTTGTAGCCACTGTGTCAATCCATCTTGTTGAGGGCCTTCTTTCCCTTTTTCGTTGATCCTCCACTTTACCAGGCATGATATCTTTTTCCAGGGAATAGTCCATTCTTACAACATGACCAAAGTAGGTGAGATGAAGTCTGGCCATTCTTGCTTCCAAGGAGCATTCTGACTGCACTTCCTCCAGGACAGATCTGTTAGTTCTTTTAGCAGTCCATGGTACTTTTAGCATTCTTCACCAGCATCACAACTCAAAAGCATCAACTCTTCCTCGGTCTTTCTTATTCATTGTCCAGCTCTCAAATGCATATGAGGTGATTGCAAATACCATGGCTTGTGTCAGGCACAACTTAGACTTCAAGGAAATATCTTTGATCTTTAGTACTTGAAAGAGATCTCTTGCAGCAGATTTGCCCAATGCTGTACATCATCTCATATCTTGACTGCTGCTTCCATTGGTGTTGATTGTAGAACCAAGTAATACGAAGGCTTTGACAACTTCAGTCTTTTCTCCATTTATCATGATGCTGTTTAGTAGTCCAGTTGTGAGGATTTTTGTTTTCTTTATATTGAGGTTTAACCCATAATGCAGCCTGTAGTCTTCAGTCTTCGTCAGTAAGTGCTTCAAGTCATCCTCAATTTCAGCAAACAAAGTTGTATCATCAGTGTATCGCAGATTGTTAATGAGTCTTCCTCCAACCTTGATGCCATGTTCTTCATATAGTCCAGCTTCTCAGATTATTTGGTCATCATACAGATTGAATAAGTATGGTGAAAGGGTACAACCCTGATGCACTCCCTTCCTGATTTTAAGCCATGCAGTGTCCCCCCATTGTGTTTGAATGACAGCCTCCTGGTCTATGTACAGATTCCACATGAGTACAATTAAGTGTTCTGGAATTCCCATTTTTCTCAATGGTATCCATAATTTGTTATGATTCACACAATCGAATGCTTTTTGCATAGTCAATAAAACACATGTAAACATCTTTCTGGAAAGGGGTAGTGAAGCATTAATCCTCCCAATCACTCAGTCCATACTTGACTAACAGCAGAGGTCAGTGACTGCTTTCTGAGGAAAAGGTGAGGTTAACTTCAGCTGGAGCTTGAGCATGCATTAGACTCAACCTAGAGGGCTTGTTAAACTGTAGATTGGTTAAGTCCTGATTTAGTAGGTCTGGCATCGTGTGGAGGTTAAGTTTTTGTGTCAACGTGGCTAGGCTTGGTTGAGTGGCTGGGCAGCTGGATAGAGTATTCCCCATGATGAGACTGGTAATCAACTCCATGGTGGAATCTACTGTGAGCAACTGAGTAGCTGCCTTAGGGATGTGGTCTGCGTCTTATATATAAGAAACAGCTTTGGGGATGGTTTCTAGTTTATGGCACGCTTGAATCTTGCATGTAAGCCCTGTTGTTGTTCAGCAGCCTGCCATACTCTGCTAATCCTGGGACTTTAAATGGACTTGAATCAATGGCCTGCTGTGTGGTTTGATAACATCAGGACTGTGCCATTATATATATATAT